TGAGTGTTGATAGTTGATCCAAGAAGAATGAAGTCCTTGAAGGAGTGACGAACTATTTCCTAACATTTAGTCACTGAAAACCTTGTGTGCTAGGGAGAGGAGACAATACACAAGAAGGGGGAGGGGAATGGAAGAACAAAGCAATTGGCAAAACAATTAGGCAGGTTTGCATGGCTAAGTGGGACAGAGTTAAACAATGGTGTATGCACAACCTTGGAACAGCAGGGTCCTGAGATACAAGGATTGAGACATGGTTGGAATGGGGAAAAGGGGGGGAAATAATGTTAAAATGCTTGGCTATCTTTTGAATCTTGGTTTCCCTGTCATACCATTATAAAATAGACACTTGAGGGGGAGAGAAAGGAATAGCCAGAAATATAACCAGAGAAAGCGGGTAAGTCCATCTTCTGCCTATAACTGATTGGAATACCTAAAATGGGGCTACAACATGCCCAGTGAAGTAGGCTTCCTGCAGAGACTGCATTATATAAGACCATAGGTGGTATCCTGAACCCCATCCAGAATCTTCTGAGGTAGGAAATTTCCACTTGAAAGGACAAGCAGACCAGCCTGAAGAGGCTAGAAGAAGACAAAACACTTCTTGAAACAAAGACCAACAGGAAAAATACAAAACAATTAATGGCAGTCCGACTGATTACTACAAGAACAAGCAAGTTGCTCTCCCAGGAGACATCAAGACAAATGATCAGGTCCCCTCAGGGCAAACCCCCTTCCAAGACTAAGACTCAGTGGGAATACACACTCTGATTGGTGACCACGTTCGTCACCAATAAGGGGAAGTGAGGGAAAACAGCAATGAAACAGCGAGCTAAGCCCTACAACGTTCAATAGACTCCTGTGAACCCGGGTGGAGACCTGGTTGAACAGCAGTGTGGCAAGACCTGGGGACTCTTGCGCCCAGAGTCAGTGACATAGCCACAGAGGACTAGAGTGGATAGTGAAGTGTCCAAATGACAAGAAGAGAGGGCATATGCATAAGAACACCCACACTTGCAGATAATACCCACTTGACCTGGCTTCAATTACTGGATGATCAGAGCTCAACTAGAAGAAGAAAGAAGAGGAAATAAAGAGTAATCTGATACAATTTGATGAACTTGACCTACACTTATGGATGAAGTAGCTCAAAAGAAGGAACAAATCTTAGTATGGAGGATCATTCCCACCCCCTCCATATACAGAGTAGACAGGGATGGGCAACTGGGACACTGACTACCCAAAATGGGGGGGTGGGGGGGGGCTTATAAAGTTAAGAAGTGACTGGATTACAAGCTTTCAAGAGGGAGCCTAGATCCAGAGGGCACAGAGGAAGGTAGAATCTCCACTGAGTATTATCCAATCTGTCTAGGCGGGGCTGATGAAAGGAGATGGGGATAGGTCCCTTTTGATACAATAGTGAATAATTGCTATCAGGACTGACTGTGGGGGTTGGAAATGTAAAGGTAGACACTTTGTAGCAAAAGGAGCAGAGTGGTTGACTTTGCAGTCCAGGAGCGGAGGGCCCTGCGACCATCAAAGGAGAAGAGTGGAGTGCGAGACCCTACCCAGAAAAATAGAGATGCCAGAGATGGAGGCAGAGAAGATGACGTGAAGAGATGGAGCGGCTAGGGACTCTAGACCCAGAGAGGGAAAAGGGCAGTGTGCTGACAACTGGGAGGCAGGCTTGCAGGGTATATCCTGTGGTTGGTTGATGATGCATGGAGGGGATGGGGATGCTAACCATGCAATGAAACGATATATGAATGGATGAATGTAAAGCTAACGTTCTCCCATGTAAACTATCACATAATTCACAATAAAACATTAAAAAAAATAAATAAATGAGAGACTGGTCAAACTGCAGTTCCACACAGTGGAATATTATGGCACAATTTAAAAAGTTGTACCTCTAAATTTCTTGACAGAGAAAGCCGCTTTAAGTGAAAGACAGCAGCAAAACAGTATGTATAATTTTATTATTTCAATTTACATAAGTATTCATACATGGTAAGTCTGTTAAGATGTGCCAACAGATTTTCAGTAGTTATCTCAAGGTGGTGATACTTCAGATAATTATTAATTTTTAATGTTATCTCATATTTATCAGAAGTGTTCACAATGAATAGGTTCATTACTTAAGAAAACAGTAAATGTATTTTCACTTCAATTACATAATAATAACTCACCTCAGCAGGGAATTTTTCAGTTTCATCTTTTTGTAGAATTGTTCTTTCTTCCTTAACTATGTCTGTAGTGTCACTTTTTTCTACTGTTTGCCTCTGTTCAATCCTTCTTATGTTTGGTCTGGGTCTCTGAAGTCTGCGCCTTATTGGCTGAGTAGTTTGGATATCACTTTCTTTCATTTCTTGTTGGAAAGTGTTTATATTATAAGTCCTAGAAAATGGGACAGAGAAAAAGAAAGAGAACTTGACTGTAAAGAGCTGAAAGCTAGAATAAAAAATTTAAATATGAAACTCCTCTAATAATCCCTTTAAAAATATTCTTTGTACTATTATAGGAAATCAGAGGAAATTCTTTTCTGATGATTACACAGTAATTTATAAAGGATACTTAACAATCACAATTCTCAAAAATGCAATGATTATATACTTATATACATATATTCCTAAAGCTTTGGTTGGGTAGAATTTTAAGCAGTTAACAAGTAATATATGTAGGCAAGAATCAAAAGCAGCTGATGTCAAGCATTCTATCTTATGCAGCCCTGCCATAGCAACATAAATAAACCAATTATCCTTTTTTAAAAAGAAAAGACAAGGTCCCTAGGTAGCACACAGTTTGTGTTCAACTGCTAACCTTTTAAAGGTTGGCAGTTAAGCCCACCCTGCAATACATCAAAGAAAAGGGCTGGTGAAGTGCTTCAATTAAGAGTCTATTAAGATTTTCAATTGGAAAAATAATTAAAAAAAAAGACCAGGCTTAATGGTCAGAAAGAGACTGGAGGAACCTGAGACTATGGCCCTTGGTCTTCCAGTCTGGAACAAAACTCATTCTCGTGGCCCAATTTTCAGCCAAGAGGTAGATAGGTGTACATGGAAGACAACATAGTAAGGTCTGCTCACCATGGAATGGTCAATCATTCAAGATCAAAAGGGCACATTTACCTAAGGACAAAGTGAAGAAGGGATGGGAAGGTGGGGACAAAGTGACTCCAATCACTTTAGAAATACATTAAAAAATATTAATTGAGATAAACATTTTAAGGAAGTGCCTTTCTTCACTAGATGTTCGAAAAAACAGTGTTTACCCTGCAGAAGCAACCAAGTCATTTTCCTGGGCTTGTGTCGACTGAGATTCTTCTTTTGGTTCTGAAGAATGTGAAGGTGAAAGACTCTTTTCAGGTTGTACACATGTTACTATCACAGCCTTGTCCTCCTTGTGACCTGGTTCATGTTTTTCTCTTGGTGTCATTTGGGAAGCCGCATCCTATAAGGTAGATAGAAAAAAAAAAATTTTTTTTAAATTTCATCCAGGGTTGGTAAAGGTACAAGGAAATAGTACCTTTCATATACTATTAGACCAGAGGGGTCTATTGGGTACAATCTTTGTATAGGACAATTGGATATCATCTATGAAAATTTGAAATTCCCCCAAAATTCCACTGCTAGACATTTATTCTATCACCATAAAAGTGTATATTTTAAAACTCCCTACTGCCTATTGGGATCCAGCAAGGCAGTTTATTACAGTAAGAAAATATAAAACAAGCAAAATACCAGAAACAAGGAAAGTATCAGCAGAGGACTGAATAAACAAACTATGAAATCCTTTCAATGTAACAGTATACACAGTTTTTTAATGCTGCCAAATTGGTTCTGACTCATAGGGAACACTGTATGGGGTTTCCAAGGAGCAGCTTAGTGGGTTTGAACTGCCAACCATGAAGTTAGCAGTCCAGTGCTGATCCTACAGCGCCACACCAGGACCCTGCAACAGTATGTGACCATTTAAATAAGCTAAATTGCTATGTAGAGATCAACAATGTTGCATCAGGTGAACAAATGAGAAAGCAATGCTTGAAGCTAGTTTTTGTAAATTAATAGAAATACAAGCAGTTTACTGTTTATACTACAGAGAAAAGTATATGTACATGTATTTAAAACTACTACATGATTAACAGTATTCCAAAGGACCCTCAGTTTTAAGATTATATATCTATCCTTTCCTATTTAAAATTTTTATAAACAGAAAAATAATTAATAAATGATTTGTCCTTTTAGGAGAATAAACACAAATCTTGATTTCTTGTAGTAAAGAACTAAGCTATATTGTTGCTGTTAAGTGTTATCAAGCCAGTTCTGACTCATAACAACCTGGTATAGGGTTTCCAAGGCTGTAAATCTTTATGGAAACAGAAAGCCTCATGTTTCTCCTGCTGTGTTATACTGTCAAAAATATACATTTAAAACATTCGATTTCTGAGTATTAAAACTTCATTTCAAAGTTTTTAATGGAACAAGCCAATGACATCAATAAAAACATCTTATTAACTCATATTAATGCTATTAATCTTCATCCTTACAACATATAATAAATTATTGTTCCCATTCTTTTGATGAAGAAACTCATTACATCATTTAGTTATAGTCACATACTGAGCAGAAGTCAGAACCAGAAATAGATCCCAGGCTTCCTACATGCCTTCACATGATCCACATGCCCATCATGAGACATCTGAGATTCATACACAAAGTATATGAAATGTCACACATTAAAAAAAAAATGAAGATGTATTTATGAAGTTTTAATTGTTTCATTTTAGTAACAGCAATCAATTGCTGTGAAGTTGATTCTAACTCATGGTGACTCTGTGTGTGTCCAAGTATAACTGCCCCACAGGGTTTCCAATGACTGATTTTTCACAAGTAGGTTGCCAGGATTTCCCTTCAAGTCACCTCTGGGTGGATTCACACCTCCAACCTATCAGTCAGTAGCTTAGATTATTAACAATTTGCAACATCCAGGAGCTCATCAGCACCGCTAGTGGCTAAACTAAAAAAACAACAAGCAAACTCCATCTTAAATAACTCACATCTTGAGAAGGATGGTTATTAGTTTGTTCGCTGTTTGGTTGTATCACAACAGCATCCATTTTATCAATTTCAGATTTCTTTCCAGGTACATATTTTTCTGCTTCTGTAGTCTCTCTTTTTAATACTGCTCTGGCTAAATTTGGTTTTGGTCTTTTGAAGCGACTTCTCACAAAAGGTACTGTTTTAACTTCAAATGGCTTCTGTTCTTGAGGACGAGATGTGCTTTTGGAAAAAGGAATATCAAGTTTTAAAATGAATTGAAAACCAGAGTCTTAAGACTACCTTAGAGGCTCACAATAATATTCATTATTAATTCTTAATAAAAAGCAAATTGGATTATTTGGTAGGTGCTTAAAAATATGAGGGTATAATCCAGGTATGAGCCTAAATTTGCAAAAACATACAGGCTTGCCAAATTTGTATGGATGCAGGAGAATGAGTTGCATACAATTGTGTGTTAGTAATTCTCACAATTAACTGTCAGAATAACCTCAATCTTTTCTCCCAGCCTTCAGCAAACTAGCAAATATAACTCTATTTACTTTCTTTAGAAGCACATATTTTAAATACTTATACCTTAAATTAGTATCTGAAAACTGCTCCGGGACATCTGAAGATTGCATCCCTTTGTCTTCTGTCTTACCAAGCTCAGAAGTCTCTTCAGAAGTCTTTGAATGACTCAACTGATTTGGTACTTCCTTTTCAGAATTTGTTTTTTCTTCTACAGATGTGTGCACCACTGATAGTTTATCACTGCTAATGTTCTGGAGGAACAGTCGCAAGAAATCAACACTTTTACAAGATTCCTTAGGTATTTCTGACATTTCAAATAAAAACCAAAACACCTATCTTAAAAAAAAAACCTTAAGTTTTGCTTTAATTTTAATTTAATTTTTAAGTAAAATAAAATCTGAGTTAAAACTACAATTCAGGAAACTCTTTTATATTACATGTCATGCTATTTCTAAACCACAAATACTGTATCTGTACAAAAACATGTACGAAAAAAAGTCCTCAAAAATGTTACAACAGAATGAACTTCAAGTAACTAGAAAAAGAAAAAGATATACACATGGTCAAATGAAGTAATTCCAAATTACCTTCATACCATGATTAGCAATTATCAATGCAAGTTCCTAGTTCCCTTCTAAAAAGTTATTTCAAACTGATATTAGACCAGTAATTATAGTTTCTTCCAGATCCTAAACAGACATATTTAAGGCTAGAATGAACATTACTTTTAGAGATTTTCAATGTTTTTGGGTGTAAGGGTTATAAACATGGAATTATTTGATAAGTAATGCTTTACAATAGCTTTTAAAGGACAGAAAAATACATACTTGTGTATCTGGTGAAGGCATAGGGCTGCAGTCATCACTACTGCTCTGTATTAAATATGTCTCAGTTTGTCTTACTTTATCAGTCTCCTCTGGTTCATTTTCCCTTGAAGCAGTCTGTATTTTCCCAGTATTTTTCAAATCTGCTACTGTTTCCTCAGTTGCACGGATTTCTTCAGATCCACTTTCTCTTGAGGCACTTTCTCTTTTGGTGTCTTTCAAATCTGCCTCTATTTCTTCAATGATAATCATCTTTCCTGCTATTTTGTCCATCAGGAAAATGTTTCCTTTTCCAGTTTCTTTCAAATCAATCTCTCTGTCTCCTATGATACTGACCTCTTCTGATACCTTTTCCCTTGGGGAAATGTCCCTTCCAGTTTCTTCCAAATTGGTCTCAATTTCACCTCCGGTTCTGACCTCCTCTGAGGCTGTTTCCGTTTCCTGTGGGGATATTTCTCTACCTCCAGTTTCTTTCAAATCTGACTTGCTTTCCTCAGAGGCAGCATTCATTTCTGGTATGTTCTCACTTGGGGATATCTTTCTTCTGGTTTCTT